CGTCCCACACGATAATAAAGGACTCGAATTCTGAGTTTGTCTGTCTCGATGAGGAAGTGATAGTTTATATCACTGAGTTTTGCTTTCAATGCTCACTGTGGAAGTAATTTTTTAAATGTTTGTCCCATCGACGACTGATGAAATAGGCACTTTGTGATTCATTTTTTTTAGAAATCGTGAGTTTAAGACTGATAATGGATTGGCACGGTTATGAGTTTTTAACATTGGACTGAAAGCTATGCTGTTTGTTTGTTAAAAGTCCTTAGATGTAAACTGTTAGACAACCGTTAAACGTCCTTAGATGTAGGCTGTTAGACAACCATTAAACGGCTTCAGTCATCCGTTAGAACAAATTGTGCAACCGTTAGAACGTGTTCTTCATCCGTTAGGCATACTTAGTTAGCCGTTAGAACGTTAGGAGAGAGTGTTAAAATGCTTTGATCATCCGTTAGGCACAATTAGATAACCATTAGAACATTAGGACAAAACGTTAGAATGTTGTGAAGGCCGTTAACTATCCGTTAGCTATCCGTCCGTTAGCGACCGTTTAACAGATAAGCGTTAAGGTACGTTTTCCCGTTCACGGTCACATATACATGTATTACCATGCAACAGAACAAAGGAAAATATAATGTGTTAAGGGTAAAACTGAACCACTTCATGTAATTTACATGTAATGGTGTTATGGCAATGTGTGATAGTCATTTGGGATTCTAATCTAATACCAGTACCAAGGCTTAAGAAAAAATTATAGCCTAAACATTATGTTTTGAAGCATGCAAGACGTTTTTTAACTTCGTTTCTGAATCAGGTGAAAAAACAATAAAATAAATCCTATTTCAGTTCCATGTAGATAAAGAAAACTGTGGCAATGAGGGAACATGCATCGGAGTTGCTCGTTACCCAGTCCATGATGATAATCATCGTTCAACTACTGACATGTGGTTGTATCGTGCGTACAGTGGAAATCTGTACCATGATGGAGAAACACCTCTTACTCTGTCTGGGTTCACCCAGGGTGACTGCATCTCTTGTGTTCTGGATATGGATGCAAAGACTTTGGCTTTTGGAAAGAATGGCATGGTAAAATAATGGTATTTTTAGGTTTTGTTAGCATAATTACATGTATGGTTAAAAGATATAATATTATTATTATTAGTTCAAAACTGGAGAATTCTTGGTAAGACTCTTTTCTTGTCATTGTGTAGCCTCTTCCAGGTGTTCAGTTAGATGGTGCCTAGCATGAAAAACAGCAAGCTAAAAAATGGGGGAAAAATACGGCGAGGGCTAGAGAAAGCAAAAGGATACCTGTGGGCAAACGTAACAAAAGGTCCCTCCACCTACTTATAGACCACCTACAAGGACCCGTAACATGTCTGCCAGCTTGTGGTTTTCAGTTGTCAGCAGATGTGTTGAGAAATAATTATCCAGGATCGTAGAACAAACGAACACTAAATTGCTGACTGGATATACTCCTTCCACCAAGCGTGCTAACACCTACTCAGGTGATCGACAGGAATTGACTGGAAATTCGGCATTCTTTCTCGAAGTAAAGCTAGGCAGTCTCTGAAGAAAAATTGGATTAAGATAAATATCTCAAATATTATACCCGTGATAAGAAGCAACAGACTGTACTTACAAACAGTTCTCATCAAACAGCCAGGCCCTAATAACACAGTATGAAGTGTCCCCCATAAACACGTGTGAAGCAAGAAAGGTGGAGAGACTGAAAAGAGAACGGCAAATGTACAAAATTAATGTCATGAACCCATTTTACACTGACCGCTGCTATTCTTGGTTTTCATGTGCCATAGTCATATGCTTTCCTTCTGAGGTTTTAGCTTCATCAGATAAAAGACGCTGTAGAGCATCTCCATAGAAAGCTCAGTCTATAAAGTTGAGTGAAACACTTCTCCGAGTAACGCCCAAATGAAAAACAGCAGAGACCTAATTAGTTAGGTTAGTTTAAGCCATATTGGCAACAAACAGGCCAAACAAATGTCTCATCCAGTGGTACTAGAGAGACAAAATCCCGGTCTTGCTTTTTCTTGCTCAGTTCTCGCCACAAAAATAACATTACACTGTATGACGCAAATCGCGCCATAATCTCGCTTGGTCAGGCCACAAATTTTCACCCGGCAAGGAATACCGGTACATTTCATCTCAGTTTTTGAATTTCATTCAGTAAGAACTGAATCAGGCAAAGGCCTTTGCATTCAGAAGTAGGCTCTAAGAGCTCTTTGATTTGGCTGATTAGCTAGCATGGGTTACAAAATTGAAAATGGATTCATAGCTGCAGGTGTTTCAGTTGTAGATGTAGTATAAAGCAACCGGTGTCATGACTTTGGTGTTTAAATTAACAAAAATGTTAGGAACAGTAATTATTTCTTCTGTTCTAGAAAGAAAGTTCCCACTTTTCCTATTTTGTTAATATTGTGAGTTCCCCTATTTTCCTATTTTTCTGAACAACCATGCTGCTGGACACCCTGCAGTCAGAGATCAACCAGTGGAGAGTTTTTGAGATCAAAACTAGCTTTAAATTTAAGAAAAGTCTTAGTCCAAGAATCTAGCCAGTGAAATTGTGTCTCCTGAGTCACCTTTTACTTGTGCTAAAATTCAAGGCCCCACCATGGAAGCAAAGAGGGACAGACAGCTTTGGGAATGAGAATAGCCCCTCTTGTTTACCATGTAGTCAGATTCAAATATATGCCAGACTTCAAATAGATACCAGTACCTCAAAGAAATACAGAGTTTTTTAATTTAAACTTGACCTTAGCTTGTAAGCCCAGTGTTTGAACCAGGGCTTGTTCAGGGCCCATCATTTTAAAATTGAGAAGATATGGAATGTTATGCTGCTATAGTTTCATTCACATGCATATAAAATTATTATTAGGTATTTCTTACCATTACTTAAAATAGTTGAGAATTTTTTATGTATTAGGAACCTCAAGTTGCTTTTGAAGGCCTTGATGCTTTAGAACTATACCCATGTGTGCTGTTCTATAGCACCATATTTGGCGAAAAGGTGAGTCTTTTATCTGTTTGATCTATAATGTAACTTGTGAGTCTGAGTTGTCTGTTCCCACATGAACTGAATAATCAACCCAGTCACTTGTAGTAAAATACAAGTGTAGAATCGTAACCACTCAAACTTTATCAACTGTCCAAGCAAGAATTGGCAATATATAGTACTTGTTAGTGAGTAGGATCTGGGTTGAGTCACAGGTATACAGTAAGTCCCTGACAAACAAAAAGTATTGCAGAGATCTTACTGGGTTGGTTATGCCAGTCTAGTAATGAAAGACAAGGAGCAAAAGCATATGAATTTTTTTCTTTAGGTGACATTAAAAGATGTGTACGTAAATGGCACCCCACAGGATCTCTTTCCTGGAGATCCAATTTGTGCCCCTATACGCACAGTACTTGCTGAGACCTCAGCTTCCTTAGTCAGGAGCCTTTCTTTGTACTCAATGTGGAAAGACCATGTTGTCAGCACTATCGTGAAGGGTTTTCAAGAAATAAGGCATGTCCTGCAGTTAAGCCCTGAAAAGGTAGAGTTGAGCAACAACAGCTTGAAAATGAGGTCTGCAGTCATTCAAGCAAATCAAGGAAATTTTACTGAAGATAATGAAGATAATACACAGGTAAGATGGCATAAACAATTGGGTATAACAATAAGAGTGTAAATGAGTTTTTCTGATTTGTTGGTTTTCTGTGGGACTTTTAAGCAAAAGGCTGTTTGATTGAAATGATATGATGGTAAGTGTGAAATTCAATGAAGTACTGTAGAGATGTTGACCATAAAAAGAAAATCCCAAATTTTGATTACTAGGTTCTATGTTCAAATTCGATACTTTTTTACTAAATTTTAGTCAGAAAGTTTGGGAGAGGCCTATGTATTAGTCTTGTTCTCCAGAAAATAATGAGTCATGTTCTTCCTTTTCAGAGAGACAGAAATGCAAGTGAGTCAACATCACATAATCCAGTCCTTTGTTACTGTGTTTGGCCAGCCTTGGCAGTTATTGGTGGGATTGACTCTGGGCTGCGCATTGGTGGTCGATGTGTGGACAAGCTGCTGTCTAGAGAAGGAACAGTACTAGGTGCAAGCAAACCTGGCAGTAGGAGTGTGAAAGTATTGTGGGACGAGGGAAGTATTTCAGTCAGGTGAGGCAAAATAATGTGTTTTGAAGTTTCCAAGCTTAGGTTATAAGAGCACTTTGTCAAGTTTCAGTTGTCAATATATGTAAGTCAGCAATATATCTTCTATGATTTTATATACTCGTGTGTTGTCCATTATTCACATCCATGAACATTGAAACAATACTACACTTGTTAATTCTAGAGATTGTTAGATACAATGTGGATGTGGTTCTTAACAATGCTCCATGTCTGATATGTTATTCAGTTGTTTCTTGTGGGTCTTCAATATCATCAGGTCTTGGATGTCTTTGAGGGTGTCATAATACCATACATGTACGTACATTTAGGCCCAAAAACTTGACCTGTAGGAGAATTGTTTTTAAGAAAGGTACATCTGGCAGTTCACTGTAAATTGTCTCAGTTTTTTTCCTCAAAATGTTCTCTAAACCTGTCATTTAATTTCTTGATTAATTATTTTTGCCCTTATTCAACTGAACCCCAAAAACTATAAACTGAGTTCAAGAAAGTGACGTTGTGATCAGAGACACACAGAACATGGTGACGTGCTTCAATGATTTTGACAAATGCACTTTGTGCTCAATTTATTTGATAACAAAGTATGGAACTATCAAGAAATTGAAGGCTTTCGTGCAAAAAGGCATATCTTGCATTTTGGGCCGATTTTTATTTTTTGCAGGATTGAGCTAATTTTTGGCAGACTGACTTGTTTTGACATGAAAAGCATCGTTAAGTAATTGTTTTTGTTGATTTGCGCTTCGTTTTGCGAGAAATAACACATGCAAAAAAACTCAGTTTTCCGAGCGGCATCTTTTGGAGTGAATCCTTCGGAGGTGGATTTTGACGCAGTGCAAACTTAAACGGTTACTTTTAGCAGCTTCCACAGCAGGGTTTTTTTAAAATAGATGTTTTGATTTTTGAAAGAAGTAGAGAAATAGACCAGAAAAAAAAAATCGACCATTAGTAGTAGATGCAAGTGAATATCATATCTTTCTCCACAGTTCAAATATATGATCTTTCATATCTTCCCTTGCATTCATCATCATCTATGGGTATATTACAAACTCACAACATGACCAGCTCTCAGTGGCTTAATAGCTCAGTTGGTGGAGCACTGCACCAGTATCGCAGAGGTCATGTGTTTGAATCCTGTTCAGGCGTGAATTTTTTTTCAGGCTTTAATTCACAATAATATTGTTTAAGTTGTGTTCATAACTGTGATGATCAATCATGTCTTCATATTCTCCAGACTCTGCTGCCTCAAAATTGAATTTGGTTTTTACATGTACAAGTATTGTATATTTGGTATCGGTTTTGTATGATAATCAACAGTTAATCTAGTGTGACTCTCAGAGTGAGGGTAGTCCTGAAAATGGTGGTCATTAGTTACATGTACATTTCAGACAAGACATTTCTTTTTTAATTTTTAAGGCACTTAAAATTTAATTTTATCAAATTTAATTTCTTAACCAATAAAGAATGTATATTTGATGGCCACCATCAGTCCCTTACTTCACACACTGCCTTTCCCTTTTTTTCTCCCAATCCAGTGACACCTTGGCTTCAAGCTTAGAACCATTGGAAGCTCTGAAATTTGATGCACGTCTCCTGGCCAACCTCCCCTTTGAAATACTCCTTGACTTGTTGGCACTGAGTGGTTTACTGAGTGAAAGAAATGGCTCAAATTTCCATCACTATTCCACTCTTGAGAACAGTGAATCTCTAACTCGTAATAATGGTGGTTTGCAGAAGCCTCTGGATGCAGATTCAAATGGGACAAGAGATTCTAATGATCCATATAGAGTGAGGCATGCAACTGTTGATGGTGAAAACAAAGACATTCTTCACCAAAGTGACAGACTTTATGAACGACCAACGTTACTACAAAATACCAGCAGTGATACTGTACCATCGGTACCTTTGCAAGATAATATTGCAACAAGGAGAAATTCATGTAGCAAGCCAGAGATGACAAGCATTGTTAAGCCGCTTTTAGAAGTGTCTGCCTTGAAATCACTTACTGTTTTACTCAGCTCAAATGGACTTCTGGAAACACTGACTACTGAGGTCTATGTTCAAACCTCAACCTCAAGTAAAGAACATTCTCAGCAGAAGTTGAATTTGTTACAGACATTGTTGAGGAGTATGGTGTCTTATGCAGTTTTGCCATCTCCTTTTAAAGGGGTGGTCATTTTAAGGGACTTGGAAAGGGTACAAAGTGTGCTTATGAGAATGCCATCTTCCATTTATTCTAACAGAGAAGTTGCAGTTGAAAGGAAAGCAGCATCTGAAGGTTATATGCAGTTTTGATATCTGTTACTTAAGGGAGCTGAATACAGTTTTTGATACCTGTGTTTCATTCACCTTTTTCTCTAAAATCCTTGATTCTTTGGTCACCAAAAATGGCAGCATTAGCAAGTTAACAATACAAACTTTGGTTTTTTGATAGTTAAGCTGACGTATGTGCCGTTGCCATGGCAACATCAATAAATATAAACAGGTCTTTAAAATAGTTCTCGTTTATTGGCAAAAAATTTGGTCATTAGATTTTCTTTACAATTTGCATGCAACAAGCTTGTAACGATGCTTACAAGTTAACATTCAAATAATAATAATAATAATCTAACAGAGAGATCTTTAATTATCCCTTGTTGAAGGTTCACTGGAATATCTAAAATTTCCTCTGTTAAAGTTCAATTTTCTTTTTGGAATACTCCAGTTACTTATTTCCTAAAGTATTTTTGTGGCAAGTTTCATAAAATTCTAATGAGTGGTTCTCAAGGAAAAGGCATATTTCCAAGAAAGCTATTCTACATTCAATTGCAATTTTTTGACTTACTACGCATGCACTGCATTTAACTGGGTTCTTTTGATTACAAAGAAAAATCTGAGAATTGCTGGGTTCTTTGCATCAATACCTTTTCTAACACACCTTTGTAATAAAGGACTAAAACCATCAGTACACTCTTTCAATTATGAAGCAAAATAGCGCAGATAGCACGGGCATTGAGCAAATAAACTGATTGCTTTATCGACACCATGTTTGTTTTTTGCAATCCTGAATCGCTTTAGCAAGAGCGCGTGCGAAAACTGTGTTCGGCCACCTTAAGCTAATTTACTGTTACCATAATTTGAATTTCATGATTAAATGCCAGGCCTCAAGGCAAATACAGAATCTGGAGAGTACAGTATAGAGTTGTAAATGTTTTCTATAATTATTATAAAAGGACTAAAACAATACCTACTTGGCTAAATGGGATGCTATTCTATTCCACCAAATTGGTTAGTAACCAAATATTTCCCTACAATAGGTTTAGAGAGGGACTTTGTTACGTAAGATAACAACAAAGTGACCTCACCCAGGGCTCAAATCCTGACCATTGCATTGAAAGTCTAGTTCACTTAACCGTTGTCATATTTGTATACTATGCAAGCTGGAGTCATTTCCAATAATATTCTCAAAGTATTTAACATGTATAATTCAGTTTAGATGAGCTGCTTGTTGAAAAAAAAAATGCAACTTTGTCAAAAAATCTATGATGAGGTTCCACATGCACAAACTACCAAGCTGGTGCAAAATGAAATATTATCAAAAGATTAAAAACAGAGTGGTGTAATGTAGTCTTAAGTTACAATGGTAAAAAATGTTGCTGATTTAATTGTTTCATATAGCAGAAACTTTGAGCCCATTGCAAGAAAGCAAGGACAACCAAGGTGACCAGCAGAGTGCACTTTGCTGTACTTCACAGAACTCTACTTCAGCAGAAGACCACTTACCAAACAGTAGCCGATCCAGCTCCTCCAACTCCATAGGCTCTCCGCCAACACAAAATGCAGATTCTGAAGACATGGGATCAGCTCCTGAACAGGAACATCCACCTGAGAGGCGGTACAGCCAGGCTTTTATTGAAGAGCTCTCCTCTCAGTTAACTGCCCCTAAACCTGTTGACGTAACTTTACAAAATGCTAGTACATCAGCTGGTGAACCTTCCACCCATTTCCCTTGTCCAGCCTCTCCACCAACCTCATTACCAAGGGCATTGCGTGAAATAGCAGCCCTCTCATCTCTCCCTGATTATGCTCTGCCTCTGTTAGAGATGGGCTTTTCCAGGAGGCATGTTATTCAAGCCATGATGGCCACAGGTACGAGAGAGAGAGCTGATGCCCGCAGAATCAACATGTTGGTCACATGGTTGCTGGAGCACCCTGTTTCTGATGATGGGGTTAGTGATGAGTGAGAAGCACAGTGAGGTCTTTGTATCTCGATTGTAAGCCAATTAGTTTACATACTCAGTGACCTAGCGGCAGTTAGTCGGGTAGGGATGAAGTAAGCCTGGCAAAAATTACAGTGTATAGCAGGGAGAGTTTACAAGAATATATATTACATGGCATGACAGTACGACATAAGTTTTGTGTGCCGTGAGGATACGTAAAAGTAATGGGCTCTAACACCCTTAGGGTGTAGCAGTATTGTCTTGAGATGACCCAATCTATATTGCCTTTGTTTTAGTGTAGATCACTTTTAATCTTGATGCTTTTTACAGCTGATCTAGTAATTTTACTTTAGGTGTTGTATGGATTCCTTTCTTAGGTTACAGAAGGTAGGGAATATGACATGGAGAGGACACAGGAAGAGGATTTCATTTACTTGTATGTTTAGGATGTGTTAAATGATGTCTTTTGGTGTTTACTTGTTTTTTATGTGTTATAGGATGATGAAGATTTAGACAACTGTGAGTCCAATGATGAAATACCTACAGAACCAGAGGCTTCACCACCCACTTATCAAATGGAAATTGGTAAATGATGTTACAAGTTTAACTTAGAATTGGCAAGTGTGTTGTATATTACTCTGAGGTACAGTATAGTATACATCTTCAGGTGGTCGATGTAGAATGCTAGTCAAGAAATGCAACATTCTATTACACTGCAGTTAACACATCACTGTATTAGAGCTTGGCACATATTTTAAAGACTGCACTGGGGTTGAGGGCAGACAGACTAATTTTAAAATGAATGTGACAGTCTCAAATAGTGCAGAGTGCAATTGATAGCTCTGAGGGAGGTACTAGATACGAATCCCTGCTTGGTTAACTTTTGGTTTGTATTTACCTTTGGTAGTCTGATAGGGCTTTTCCCCTTAGCAGTGTGTATGTTTCATGGCTGTATTTTCATTCAAGGTCCAAAATTTACTTACAATTACTGTTTGTCACAACAGCTTTTAACTTTTATTCTGGTGTTTTATGTTGATTTTTGTTCATATTAAATTTATGCCAACATTGGTAACTTGATACTTTTATTGTTTTCCTCACAAAGGTTTGTCAAATGAAGTCCTTTTTTTGTCAAAAACACATGGAAGATTTGCTTGTTTTCTTTTTTGCTGCTAGTGATAAAGGAAAGAAAGTTAAAAATCTGATGAAGAAATGGAAGAGGAATGATTTTGTTTTACTCAAAACAAATTTTCTTTCCACCGATAAACAAGAAGTAATTTAATTATCAGGTAGTCACGGAATACCACTTTCTTTTTCTGTTGCCACCTTTGTTGTTAACAATTTAAAAAATTCAAAATTAATACACAATGATATCGATTGATACAACTGAGAAGCATTTCAACGAGAAGTATCGAAGGTAAACCGCACTACTTGGCCGAGATTATATCCTACATTGGTGAAGGAGTCTCCTCAACGACTGATTAAATTAATTTGGGCTTTCATTACGTGTCACGGAGTCTGCAGCAATATTTGAGCACTTTCCTGGTTTCTTTTGTGGGAAATTTACAATTATTTTGAAGAGAATTAATGCCTCTAACTCAGGAACTTTGTGGTATCTCTTACAGACGCGATTAAGGCAAGAAATAAAAAAGCCGTTAAGGAGAAGTAATAGGTTTCCCTTCTTTATGTGAACCCTGACAAACACACTATTTTAGTTTGAAAACAGCAGATGATAATTGTTGAACCAACCTATGGGTAATTCTTAGTGATATGCAGCCACCATGATAATGTTTGTGTTTTGCACGAAAAAGGGAGAAGTGGCGCTACCTGAAAAATTACGGCCATCCTCCATCACATCACATGACAAAAAAAACCCGTGTGGAAACATAGTGTATAACACTAACAATGCTAGAACATATGCGTCTTACATGTTGATTTATACCATAACAAAAAGCACTCAACATTATTTTGTGTGTGATCCCATATGAAATGTATCTTCCACCAAAAAAAAACAGAAGACAAGAAGGCTAACTAATTTGTGTATGTGTTTAGAGAAAATTGGTTTTGTTCTAAAGAGAACAATACCACAAGGAGAGCGAGGGGTTACCTGAAACAAATAATATGTTACTTTGTGATGTTCACACACAACTAGGTGGAACATTTTTTTTATAGCAGATAGCAGCCCCCAAAACCTTCCCAATAGTGCACTCTGCTCTAACAAGTTTTTAAAGACAGGTTTTGCATTCCTGAGAAAAAACATCAGAAGTGTAGCAGCTCTTGTAAGCCTGTAATTCTCTTCATTGTTAGCAGCGGTTATTGTTTTAGGGCTAGGGGCATCGTTTCTGTTGTTTGCTCTTTTGTTCTCTCAAAGGGTAGCAAGCCATTCATGTGAGACCTTATGAGAGCTGCTACATCACCCAGAAACATGCCTGTTCATGTCTCTAAAAAGTGTCTTGCACTTTTTCACTTTTTTTCTATTAGCTTATAATTTAACTTCATTTGCAAGGAAAATATCTCTTTTATGGAGCTTTAATTGATGCTTAGGGTACCATGGTAGGTGAATTTTTATGACAAATGCAAAAGTAGTTTTTGTTTTGCTGTTTAAATTGAGAAGACTGAGATAAATATTTTGCAAAAAGAATGGGAAAAAACTTTTTTTGCCTTTTTAGATAAAGAGAAAAACTATTTTTGAATCTCATTAACCTCTTATGGCACATTAACAAGTTCTATCACCTCTAATTAAAATTTACTGCCAGTTGTAACGTGTAAGACAAATTGCGCTGTGATTTTTCATTTGAATGAAAGAGACGTGCACGCGAACTGTTTTCGATCTGGTTGTTTCATTGCAAGTTAGCTTTCGTTCTTGTCAAATTTTCTTTGTCAGGATGAAAACTTTCACCCATTTTCGTCTTCAAAGAAGCTGAAGAGGCAAAAATCTGGTGGAACCTACAGGTTCAGTGTAGAACGAACAAGAGCTTTGGCTCTGAGTGACCATGGCTTGTACTTTAATGAAGGAACTCGAGGACACTAGTCCCGCCAATGAAGCTGAAGGACAAACTACAACAAGTGCTAGTTGCACAAAATTGCTGGAGAACAGACACAGCTCTGAAACTTCCACAATGAGAGAGTCAAATGCAGATGTAAATGTGGAACCATAGGACAAACTTCATTGAAGGACTATTGTTAGGTCCGCTTGCTGGTTCCACCTCCAGATTTCCTCTATTTGGCTTCTCGAGGCATGGTTTCACAAAATGTCTGGAGAATGAAGAGGCCTGAACTTGAGCAACTTAATACCAATGCAGCCGTAAAAAAATCACAGCAGTTTACATTAAGATTTGTATAAAGATTTGGTACTTTGTTGCTTCTCAGGTGATAACACTGCGATGGGTTTTTGTACCAGAATTGTAGACGTCTGTTTATTTTAAGTTGCTATAAGCCATTGTTGTGGTAAACTGACCCATGTCGACGTCTGTTAGTGCGTCATCAAATCTTACCTGAGGGGATTTTTTCACTCCTAACTAATCATACCAATCTCGTAAGAGGTTTTTCATCTTTTTCTTGATAAAATTAAACTGCATATAAGGATGAACATTCTTTGTTCGTTCACTCACGTTGTCCGATGGAATTGGCTGAAAATCAGCAGGCATGTTCTGGGATACCTTCAAAAAACAGTGTCGTGCTTTGTTTAATTTCACTTCTGTTTCAAAGTTAAGGCCTCTTTTATAGAAGGACACATCCCCTTTGTAAATATCAAACTTAAGGAGGGTGTAGAAAAAAAAAATTCAAACCACCTCTGGAAAATCGCTGCCACCGTTTTTGAAGATGATGTGTGAGAAACCATTTCTGACGTTAATCACCACTCTGATAATTCATGCACGGAAGCAAACCAGTTTAAGCAAAGCAGTGTTTCTTGGTATTTCTTTTAATATCACTGTGACATTAACTTTTAAGAAAATTTGAAAGATATGGCTGTACTCTATAACTATTAAGCTTTCAAAAAATGTATAGGTTGATGGGGTGTTCTTTCAAAGCACCCACATCATGTGCAAGTAAGAGCGGGATTTCCCAACATTGTCAATCCTCCTACCATGATACCTTAAGAAGGCCTCATTCCTCTTGGGCCCTTCAGACTATTAGTTGTCAGCATGAAAGACTGTTTTGGCATCCTTTAAGAAGACCTGCATTAATTTATTTGGCCTCCCCTTACAAGATACTGAGAAATATTTTGTTATTAGGGATGAATTTCCCTCCTTTGCCTTAAAACAGGCAAAACTCTGACAAGTCTTCTCTAAAACTATCAATCTCCCCAAAGAACTGGGTCTTTCAAACAGAATGGTTCTAGAATGATCCCTACATGACACTCTTTTAACCCCAATCCTTGTACCTCCACCAAAATTAATATTCCCAAGCCTTTCCAAAAATTCCCTTTTTCTGGCCAAGATTAATCAACCAGCACCTGATTCAATGGGAGCAAAATAACTGCAAGTTCTGAAGTCTTCAAATAGGTTTTTGCTCAATCATGGTTACCTGTTGCCTTCCTGTTACAAAATATTTCACCCATATAGCAAGCTCAGCCATGCTGGCCCATCACATTGAGTCTTTTCCTCAGTAACTCAGTGTTACAGTCCCACAGTCGTCATTCCCTTGGGATCCCTTAGATCCAAACAGGGTACATATCGTCTCCTTTTTGACCATGTGTTGCATTGCCAGCAGTACTACCAAGCATAAGGCTAAATTTTTTGACAGTGCAAGCTTATAAGAGTACATGTAGTTCATGAATCTCTCTAGTAAACTACATTGTAACAGTGTCTTTTCATAAGACCTGGTAAAATTCTGGAGGAAAGCCATCAATTCATGGGCTTTTTCCTATGTAGTCCTGCTGTTAAGAGCCAAAAATAACCAGAATTGTTCATTTTGTGATAAAAGCATGAAACTTCCCAGGATGACTAACCTCTATAAGGTAAACATTTTCTGATATGGAGCCATCCCAAATTTACACCCAGAACCACGCTACTCGCATGTCAAAAAATGACATATTAGGCTCCTACATGGGAACAAGGCTGAGTGAAAATGCTTATTTCTAAGCCTTCTCTGGAGTAATTTGCTAGATTTCTTGCTTTTTACTATGACAGCAACTTATAAAGTATCTGGGAATCGAAAAATTTGTCACGTGATTAGTCACGTGACCATATTTTAATAAACAATAAAATAATACCGAATATTGCATGAATACGATTAATAATTTTTTTCTCCTCTTCTTCTCTTTTTTTTTTTTGCTTGCAAATAAAAAGAAGTGATTATTTTGAACATTACAATATAGAGTAATAAGATATTCAAACTTAGAAACTTGTGTTTCGGCATGCGCAATGTCATATTGGGGCTTTGCATCAAATCGAAGCCGAGACAAAGGATGGATCTATGTTGGCTACTGAGGTGATTTGCTTAAGTCTGGCTTAACGGGATATAACTAATTTCGGTGCGTAATTCAAGGGAAAACTCTTGATTGGTTTAAATCGTATTTGACTAATCGCACACAATGGTGCTCCTTTAATGGCTGTCTCTCTGACTTCACCACTCTTAAATGTGGTGTGCCACAGGGAATGATACTTGGTCAGTCCTCTTTTATTTCTAATTTATGTTAACGATTTGCCTAACTGTCTATCATTTAGCATACCTAGAATGTATGCTGATGACACCCACATTACTTATACTGGTTCTGATTTGCATCCGATTCAGTCTAGTCTATCTCACGACCTTAAAAAACTAAGCAGATGGCTTGTGTCTAACAGACTTACCTTGAACGCTACGAAAACGGAATTTATATTGATCGGTTCCAGGCAAAGATTAAGTACTCTATCTGATACACTCGAACTCTCCATTAATAAAGTTCCGGTTGAACAAGTTTCCCCTGCAAAATCACTTGAAGTAAATGTCAATGAAAATCTAACGTGGCATTCCCACATCAACTGTGTAAAAAGATCGCGTCTGCAATTGGAGCCATAAATTCAGCTAAGGTAATTCCCTCGAAATTGTTCTACTATCAAACTTTTTTTTGCAACTTGGCATAATTAACATTCATGATATGAACATTAAAAAAATACAATTAAAAAATGGGGTCAACGTGCTTGTCAACGCGTCAGCACGCTCTTAAAATGGGGTGTTTTTACTGGCTGCGCGTTAAAAATTCGAATCACCTTCACACAGAATTGAATTAGGTAGCTGCCAGTTTCGCCGCATGGTGAGTTTGCCCCCACCGAGTTCACCCCTACATCGACTCAACTTGATCGAGTTCGCCCCCAACCAGATCGAGTCGCATATAGAGATAACTCCTCGTTCTTTTATCCACTACCTCATTAGATTACTGGTGGCGAGGAAACTTCGCGTGGTGGCTAGGTGACTTCGCTTGGTGCGAGGTGACTTCGCTTGGTGGCGACCGAGAGTTCGTTGGTGGGGAGACTCCCTGATGGCGAGATGACATAAACATACATCGACTGAAATGGTTCTTTGAAAACGTTTAATAACTCGATGACAACTACGTCAACGCGAACACAAAATTTTGGGGCGAACTCAAAATAGAAATTTTATAGTGGGGGCGAATTCTTTGCAGGCGAACTAGCCATGGGGCGAAACCGGTATCATTCCAGATTTAAGTCTTGGTTGCTTGAAAGACACAGAATTTTATGTTGAAAGTAAAGCTTCTTTTATTCACATAAGCAGTATTTCTTCATTTAAGCCGTTTCTAATTGCCTGGTTGTGGGAATATTGCACTTTTTCGGACGGTTCCGTGGTTAGCTTGAAGTCCTCGCCTCAGCCAAAATACACCCAGTAGGGAACTATTTTCCAAAAAAAGTCATGTTCTACTGTCAAACTTTTTTTCTTCAAATATGTTCTTTATTAGACTGTTCTTAGCGAATATCCGAAAAAAAAATCGGGGGCAACAGTGCTCATTTAAGAGCTCGAGAAAAGGAGCATTTATTTCGCTATCAAGCTTAGTTCGAGGGAAATCTCTTACGTTTTGCATGTACACGGGCTCATGACTTAGGGATACGCAATGCAATACTAAGGAATCACCCTAAGTCATTTGTGCCTCAATCTACCCTACTCTGGATATGCAACTCACTACCTCAACCTCACTTTGAATACTGCAGCCTAGTCTGGGGTAATTGTGGCAAAACATTATCTAACAGGCTACAAAAACTGCAAAACCGTGCTGCATGAGTAATAACTTCATTGGGCTTTGACGCTGATCTCGATTCCTTGTTTCACAAACTCAGCTGGAAAGACTTGCAATTTCAATGTCAAATTCAGAAAGCTCTGATGGTTTTCAAGTCTTTAAACGGTCTGGTTCCCGAATATCTCACTTCTAAATTTTTAACACAAAATGAATCAAATCATGCTCTGAGGGACTCGAATAACAAACTTGTTGTTCCCTTTCCGAGAACTAACTACATAAAAAGTAGTTTTAGTTACAGC